AGCGGCGGATGAAGAGACGGCGAGTTTGGAGGTAGAGAACAAACCGATGTTGGATGATTATTCCTGCTGCACCTAGTTTGACCACCAGAGGTCAGTCTCGTTTTGTTTGACATTTTTGTTTTCACTTCCTTTTTTTCCCATAGATATACCTGAAACCGTTACAGTTGTTGGTGAAAAGGCAGGATGCTTCTATTAAGTGATTTCCCTCCCATTCTGAGCTGTCAGCGGGCAAAGCGATCAGTAGAATAGAATTTTAAAACTTTATTTTCAATTTAAGTCATTGTTTTGATTTTATTCTCTGTATTTCTACGGTGGTCGATGTTTGCTTGTTGCTAAACTAGTTGTTGAAGAGCATCAATAAAGAAACCATCTGTGTTTTGAATGGGCGGCATAATTACTATTTAAGACCCACCACGAAAAAAAATGATGTTTGGTCAGAAACGTGTGAGATAGATGCTGATTGTCAGATTTAATTATTAAATTAGGCTTTAATGTCTGCATGTTTCGCTCCTCTGGCCGTAAGCTGGAGCGGAGGATGTGGAATCTGGGGGTTAGTCTTTCTTCTGATTGGTCATACAGTGGAGCTCTGATTGGTTCTAAAGTTTACAAACCACTGGTACTTTGTAATTGAATTTATAATTGTTAATTGAGCAGGAATACTTTGGCGAATCTTGTTCTATGCATGCGTGATTCACACGTGTGTTTTTGTGAAAATTGAAACTGATCTGGACCCAAAACATCTGAAAGATAAAGATCTGCTTTCAGAGACCCGATCCAGTCCTCGTTCCCTCGGTTCCTTGCCTCTGTCCTGCCTGGTGGGTCAGAGGAAGGTTAAAGACCTCCATTTAGTCGGATCTGGACCAGAGGCGGGGAAACGGGTCGGAACGAAGACCGGATCGAGCCGGAACCAAAGCAGTACCGGAGCGCTCCGGCTCCAAACGCTCCTCCTCCCCGTCGGAGTTGATCAAACCGCTGACATCCTCTCCCTCGCATCCGTTTCCTCCCTGGTCGCCATGGTTACCAGCAGTAGGTCCTTCTTGAGAGGTGGGGGGGCGCTGGGGGGGCAGAGGAAACACATCGATCAACTCCAATCGGGCCAGAACCCTCGGTGCCTGCTAGCGAGTGGTTCCGGGTCAAAGAGCAGAACTT